CCAACCTCTCTCCCTTGGGCCTGAGAAATCCCATTTCTCTCTAAATGTCAAACAGTCCCCTGAGGGACGCGTCTTTCCTGATGTGTATAAAGGAAGGAGTTAAAGGGAATCTTAATTAAGGAATGTTAATTAAGAAAGAATAAAGAAAGGCTGAACCACAAGAAGTAAAACATGGACTTTTTCCTCAAAGTTTACCCATATGGCAGTATAGTTGCACTTCAGGAGTTCCTGCCCCTCCACCCCAGAAGAACTGCTCACGAGCCCACCCTGAACTCTATCACTGAAGTAAAGGCAACAAGCCGGAACCACAAGATAGGGATGGAGCGCCTTAGGCCACTGCATGAAACAGCACCCCAAGTCCAGCTTCCCTTTGTCTTCTTGTCTCATGCCCAGTTATCAGGTCACCCCAAACAGAGATTTTGGTCTGAATTCAAATGTTATAGTTCATTGTAAGGGAACTGGGGCCAACCAGCCATTATCAGATTAAAAATAATAATAATCTTTTCCCCTCCTTCTAAGAAAAAATAACAGGGAAACAGAAATTTTACTTGCTGGAAGTCATTTTAATTTTTCGTGTCAAATGAGAAATTCAAATTATTCTTACTTAGCAGAGAAATTGCCAGAACTGCATTTCTCAGCCATCTACTTCGATGTGAGGGCTGGAGGCAGGAATAAAAATAAAAATAAAAATAAATAAATAAAGGGCAATGGAAACGCACCAGAATAGAATTATTGTCCACATCTTAAAGTACATCTTCTAATAATTTGTTACTAATAAATCTGCTAATAGAAGCCTGCAGAAACTTAAATTTTCAAGCTTGGCGAAAAAGTGATAAATATTGTACTTTCACCTCTATGAAACAGAAAATAATAAATGACATTTCATGCTAAGAGTTTTGAAAAACTTTTGCTGCATGTTAATTCATTTTGCAGTTAACATTCACGTTTTCAAAATAAATATTCAATGCACAACATAAAACTTGCTTTTCCACTGTGTCTAAACAATATTTTAACTCATGATTGCCACTAATATGAGCCAAGAAGAAAGTGATAGCAGATGATTCAAAGTATCAAGTAGCATGCTGGCATTTCCTGAGATTAGGGCAAAAAACTGTTATCAGGCTTAGTCAGTAAGTCTTGTAATAAGGCTTAGAATCTACTATAGATTTCCTCAAGGCTAACAGGAATCAGACACAGAAATGCCACAGAAAACGCTGAAAGAAATGTATTTCTTGATATTTAACTACAAATCCAATAAAGTCCACTTGCTTTCTCACATTTCTTTTTGTAAACCTGGAATGTGTACAAATTGCATGCTAAATTTTATATTTAGTGTGACTACTATGGGTTACTGCATCTACATGCAATCATGCAAAGGGCTGCTTAAGAAATATTACAAATTCTCAACATTTTTCCTGAGCATTTTTGATTCAAATCAAACCACAGTTACTTGAATGAGACTTTTGGCAAGATAGCTAAAAGAATACCGTATCATTCACTCTTAATTTATACGAAAAGTGGACAGATTTTACAGAAATCTACAGTCTTAAAAAACAGCAAGTTGAATCCCATTCCAGTAAGCAGCCTTCATAGTCCATTGCAGAGGTAGCTGCATTCAGAGAGCACACAGCTGCTTGGTAATATGCAAATAGCAGTGTCTGACATTTTACTAAAGAAATTAAGCAAGCCATTAATTTCTCCTTGCAGTTTCAAGTGTAAAAAAGGAAGAAATCCGTCAGCTAGAAGCTGGCAAACGCTAACAATCCTACTCTTAAAAGAGGAACAAATAACTATCATTTTCTAAGATACCAGAAAGGAGTATTATGTCTTCTGCAGATGCTAGATTTATGGGTCGTTCTAAGTATGGAGTAACGTCTTTTTTCAAAGGGCCTCGGAATAATTTAGAAAAATCAGTGTGCTAAAGATTAGCACTAACCGTGTGCACTGTCTCATTGTACAGAAAAGTTAAGTTGAGGTAAGAACTTCTTTAAGTGCATTGCCTGCATTCATGCACCCACCTTGAGTCAAAAAACACAGTCCTGTGCTAAATCTTAAAACATGCTTCAATGCCAGTCTTCACCTGTGAAAAGTATTCACCTTACATGGGAATTAAGGCTGTCCCTGCAGAGCTGTGCAGTTCAGCGAACACACAGGTGGGTCATATCCATGTTTTGTTGTTGCTGTTGTTTATCCCATATGAATTCTGCTGTGTATTTGAAGCTTAGACACGTGAGGAATTAGCTACAGTGGGTAAAGCAAGGCATTGTTTGTCAGGCTCTACAGGATCTTTCAGGCCACATCTATAATGCTAAATAAAAGGAGGTCAGAAAGGAGCCAAGTACATAGCCTAGTTTGGGTCCACACTACTCAAGCCTAGCCACCTCTGCAGCGCACTTCTTTTGCAGGAATCATAGCTTCGTGTTTCTTTGCCATAAAATGAATGCAACAATTTGCAACTTGCACAAATACCTCATGGGAACAAACACGTACATTCTGCAGACTGTCTTAATACTTGTCAAAGAAACACCAGCCTTAGTGACAACAAGTTAGTTTTACCCTTCAAGTTCAATAACAGAGGATTCTGATTAATACTGAAATCATTAATTCACGTTGCTCTGTGGAAGTTTTGCTTATTAAGAAGCAGTTACTTTTTTTGTTTTTTTTAAACAGGTCTGAAAGCAGAAGTTAACAGGCAATGAGTCTCCTTCACAGCAACGAATTCCCCTGATACTCTAAAGATTCAGAACTTGTCTTCACTGGATTTTTCATTATTCAATCTCCACTAACCTGTTTTCAGTGCCTTTTCTGTATCTGGAGAAGCCTTAGTGAAAATATTAAGTCTCCTTCCTAATTTGAGACTCCTATAAACAAAAAAGAAAAATGATATTTGGTATTTCACAACACTTCACAACTTTGCCAGATAAAAAAAATTTAAAAGCATAAAATATTCTCATGAAACTAATAGATCTCTGGGGGGAAAAAAGTGAGATAGTGACTCTCTCTAAATCCTCAGGCTTTTAACCAGAGAAAGTATTTATGGTTGAATTATTACTCTGTAATACAGCTTCCCTCAACATTCCTGTGTCAAAGAATGAGCATAAATCAAATATAATGTTTGCAGGCATTTTTCACCAAAGTATTTAGGAATCTGAGTGAAGTTAAACAGTATCAAACCACAGTACTTAAGCAATTTTACAGAGTAGCAACTAAAAAGTGAATTTTGTGATTTTTTTTTCTGTATTGCACAATTCAGGCAGAAAAAGGGCAGCAACTAAATCAAACAATTCCTGCTTTATTACACAGCCTTTTTGGAAGATTACACTGCCACCTCTTCTTCTCTGCCATACAACAAACACACAAGGCATAGCTGTATATTATATTTTAAATATCATCACTCCAGTGCTCCTCCTTCTGAATATAACAATATTTTATTCTGATAATCTATTTTTAATCATATTTACATTCAGCAGAAGCCTATATTAAAAAAAAAAAAATCCAACAGCAGATTAACAACTAATCCGAATATATTTTCATATAAATGAAATGAAGGAAAAAAACAATGTCTTTACTGTAGAATGCACTGAACTTTAAAACAGATTATTCTTTTAACTATGTAACCCTTCTTGGTTTTGTAGCTTTCCACTGAAATTATAATAGATCCTACTTTGCATTATTACATATTCACTGTTACCCTAGCAACGCTTGCCTTTCCTGACCTTAAATTTCACCTCTCTGCTCTTCCCACGGATTTCTGATGGCCAGAACTACGACTGCAAAACCTGCTCTTGTCGTATTACTTTTTACTGATGTAACTACCTTGGATCTATTTCAGCACAGAGCCATCTAATTACACAGTCTTAAAAGAATGTTGATTTGGGATTGCATTTTCCTATGTGTGTGTCTGACTCCCTATAATGTTGGCTCTGAAGATATGAGTCTAACTTGGAAGAACATTTATTTTAAAAATGGCTAGTTCAAATTACTACAAAGCAGTATCATCCTTTTCTTTGACAACTACCAACTCCATTTAAACATGCATGTATTTTTCCTAACCATTCCTTTGCATAACAAAATGACTTTCACCTGACTACCAATCTTGTGGGATAACTATCCCCAGATTAAAAATATCAGGCTATAGAGTTATTCAGCAATTCATAATGCAGTCAGTCCCCTTGCTCCTCAAAGCCGGTAGCTTAAAGCTGACTGAAAATCGCAGGACAGAAATCTCTAAATCAGCAAGGGCTTGTTCTAGTCCTTTGTTCCATTTCTTCCATTCAGCCTCTCTTACAAGCAGCTTCTCTTGCACTTTCTACAAGCTTTGCCCCGGGAAAGACGACATTACTTGCAGGTCTTACAACATCAAGGAGTCCCAGGAGGCACCTCCCTAACACACCTTAACAGGTGGTAGTTCAAGAAAAAGGAAGTTACTCAGAAACACTTCATCAAGCATGTCAAGTTCTTCTAATGACTGACTACGTTCACTTCTTTGAGGCTTTTGCATGATTTACATGGCTTAAGGAAGCGCGTGTTCCAATTCGTTCAATACGGGTAATTACAACTCTGCTTATGATGTACTGAAATAGTTGTCTCAGCCAAAGAGGGTAAAATACTGTACATCTGCGCACCCGTAACTAAGAAAAAGTAGGCATAAAGTTATCTAAATTCTGTTTTCAGCATTAACCATCAAAACATCAATGATCACCTCAATTTCTAACCCCTAATCCCGAGTAAAGTCACGTATAACTAATTTGTGAAGAAGTTAATCTGACTGAAAATGGAACTGCTAGAGAAATAATATACAGAGAAGCAATGTAATCATGTAAGCACTAACTTAATTCACTAATATACTGGCCACAAAAAACAGTAGTAAGCTGTTTTTAAGAAACATCTGGAAATCACCATATAAATTATGAAGTTCATTTATATATATGAGAAAGTCACAGGCAATAGAGAAATCAGTTATAGAATGACTTTACAGGTTCAGCATGAGGGTTACTGGAAAAAAAGCTTTAAAAGTCTCTCAAAAAAACAGCAGAACAAACGAAATACTTCTGAACATAGAACATCTATCAAAGTTTTCCATCAGGTGACAGTAAGACTTCAAAGCCTCCCTCTAACAAAAAGTGACCAGAGTGATGTAAAATCGTACTATGCGTAAGCGTGACTAACTTAAAGTAGTTAAAAAGCAAAAACAAGATTACATTTCGGCACCAAGCATTTTTAATTAACTAAGATTTAATGTCAAAACGTGCAAGTTATTTGATTAGCTGGTTAACACTAACTGATGTGTTCTCATACAAATTAATTTCAGTGTTGACTGCATTTTTCATTAAAAAATAGTTTAAAACAATCTTTAAGCTTTGAAGTATTATGGTATCATGAATATTTGTGACTAAATTTAAAAGGTCATCCATTAGTAACTTTTTGCATATTCCTTCTCTGGGAAGTGGGAGGGAACACAACAGAAAATACCTTCTGGAAGCAGGAGCAAGTCTTTCAGGCTTGATTCTTTTCTCATCCTCCTCCAACCCTAAGGAAATGAGATTGGATATCCTCACACCTCTTTGAGCTGGGGACTCTCTCTTGACCGTCATGTCTGAAATAACATTGCTGAAATCAAAAACGTGAACATAAAAAGTTAACAAAAACAACAAGGCAGGAACTTTTGTCACATGCATTAATAAGGCAAGCTACTCTTCCTGATTTTGTGAGCCTATAAAACAGAATTAGACATTCCTCACAAGACACATCCATTTTTTATGTCATCAAATATGCAAGTCTAACCTTTTAAGCAAACTTAGTTGTTACATTCTACATATATAAATGAAAAGCGCTATTTCAGTCTATTAAACTTGCAACAAATTCCCTTTGAAATAATCCAGTTCCCAACTAAGAGAAAATTACTACTTCATGTATCTACATACTTATATTCAGAGAGTACCTTTGGCATGTTTTGCTTAAGTAAATGAGGAATTCCTCTGGATACAAAGCATTTGCTGGAATAGGAGTAAAAATAACCAATTTTTTGGACAGGAACCAACTTCATCCAGGGAGCAGTGATGGAGCTGGCCTTCACACATCAGCTGACACGGGTCTGTCATGCCACCCTATTAAGTAGGTCACCTTTCCTGATCCTCTGCAATCTGCTGTATTGCACAATTACATCATAGCATCAATAGACGACATCTTCCCTCATAATTCTGAAGTCAAAATCATACATGAAGAGCAAACGCTCTAGTCTCTCCCAGTGGAGTTTGCAGCTCATTCTGAGCATAAAGACCAAAACACACAAGCTCTCTGCCTCAGCCAATTAGCCCCCTTAATGTGCATGTCCGCCACTTGGCAAAGACCAAGCTGGTTATTCTTCCTTGTATCTACCCTCTTCTTCCAGCTGCTACCAGGCCAGTTCAAACAAGAGCAAGAAAATGCAGCCATCCTAAATCGCAGTGCTCAAGTTCTAAGATATAAAGATGGTCTCAAAAATAAAAACAGGCCAAGTCAAAGGCGTTGCATATCCATTTTATGAAAATCTAAATAAAGTTCAAACTATGTTTTTAGTAGTTTAAGTCAAAAGAGATTTTATTACCAATAAAGAGATACTCTGGAAAGTTGTAAAAGCTAATCACCACAGCAACACAGTAGGACTTTTTCTTCTGTCTTAGACATGGCTCTGAATGGCAGACCAGGAATAGCATAGCTCTTCAAGTATCTACTCTGAACAAAAAGGCATCTGAAAGTAAATTTTAAATGGCAACATTTTAACCTTAAAGAAAAAATAATCTCAGATTTACTTGCATCTCTCTCACACTAGAAGTTATTTTATGAAGTGACTACTGGCAGTAGTGAGCTGCTGTCGGGCCAGAAACTTGACACATGTCTGAGGGTCAGGCTAATGTAATTCCTCAGGTCACAGTCACACACTGCCCAGCCCAACTGCTCGACTTGGCAGCAGCCCTTAAGGCTGGAGCACTGCTGTGCTGCAAGGGGTCAGGCTTCCTCCAAGAAGCTCTCCTCGCTACAGAATTAGGTTTATTTTTGGGTTTGCACAGCAGGTTAAACTTCCTTCTGGACAGACTGTACTACCAAGCTTCTAGCATACGCAGTATCGTACTTCTCATGGAAATGTCCTAATGTCACCACATCATGGGTATAGGAACATTAATTGCAGGAATGTTCATCACACCATAATTATCTTCTACATTAACTAAAAACAAGGCTACAGAGATATTTTTATTGCCTTCTATGACAAAAAACATCAGATGACAAAGTCATGCTCCAACCCCAGCATATCTACAGTGGTTAGATAGTACATGACATTATCTCATGTCCCAACATCAGGTTAAAAAAGTAAGTTCGTAGATATTTATACCTTCCAGAGCTGGAAAGAGGTAGAGCTTTTATACCAAACAGATTCTCCCTCTTTCCTAAATAATAACCAATAATTAAAATACTAGAAACAAAAATACAGGGAGCTTAAGGTATACTTTAGCCTTAAGCTCTGGATTACGCTCCTTCTTCTCTACCTAAAATAGGAAGCTGAAATTTCAACTTGCAGTGCCACTGGTTTTATTTTAGTATACTGCTGTTGTAATTTCCATTGATTGAAACTTCATCCCACACTGAGAAAAATAAATTCCTGTATCATTAATATTTTCCCCTCCTCGTGAACATGCTGTCCTCACAACTGCTACAAAACAAGCCGATGGGAGAAGACAGTATACAACAGTGACCTCTGGAGGTCATACCATCTTACTGAAAAACATAATACAAACCAAAAGATCCTGACAACGTATAATTTATTTCATACCTTCATAAATCTCAATAGCAGTGTCCCAATTTGCTGCAATTAAGCATTATATTAAATGATTTTAATGCATGTGCAGCTCTCTCATTTTTAAATCGATTTTCAAGTTTTGAATAAAGGACGAATATATATCGGCTTTTTTGATACATCAATATAGTGACTGTAAAACCTTCATGAAGAAAATGAAAAGCTTAACAGCCCATATTCCCTTGTTGTCAAATAAAAAATAAGCACAAAATAGTCATGCATGAATAAAAGAGATTACTTTCTAATATATTAAAAGCATTTCAGCCCCTTGTATAGGTTGACATACTCCGGAGGATAAAGCTAAGTCCAGGCAAGCCTGAGGGCTGCTGGACTTTTTAACCAACTTTTTTTTTTTTTTCTCCCTCCTTACACTGAACAGAAAGCCAATAGTACCAAATCCATCTCAGAGTCTAACGTGAAAGGTTATCATCAACTAACTTATCATTCCAAAAAATCATCAGGAGTTGTTGGTCTTCCTAGAGAACTCATCCACTGCTACAGTTTCAAAACGTTCACCTAACTATTAAGGCGGAAAACAACACTTTTCAATATACAATAAAAATGAATATATATTCCCAGGTGGAAATAAACTAGCTCAAAACGCTGCCTCAGGGTATAGAAGAACTTGCTAATTCAAAGCACAACAAACCAGCTATGACATTCCTAGCCATCCAGCAAGGCTATGTACATGAGGAAAACATGTCTTTTTAACCACAGAGGTTCATCCACAAGCATGTTAAATTTTATATTAGCACATCTTATGCGATCTAGCAACTATACAGAGTCACACAATGCGAGGACTTAAGCTTTTAAATTTCTCAAGAATTTAAACTGTCTTTTAAAGGAAAAAAGCCTTCCTGCTTACATTACAAATTCCTTAGACACCTTTTTCCTTCCATAGCAGCCCACAGCTGGGTAAGGCTTCAGGAAAAGCACAACGGGTGGTGAGGAGAGAGAACCCTTGCTGCCAGTAAGCAAACCAACCAAATTTGCAGAAAAGTGCATATACTGTAAGGGGCAGGTACACATGAGGTTTGGCACTGCACCTACTAGTTTAGTCAGTGTTAGCATGACCCCAGCAACTTACCAAAAACTGAAGCAGCTTCCAATCACGTTTAAGCTGGTCATCCACAGCCCACACCGTTTCTAAGATGTTTGTCTGCACTGCTCTTGTAAAAACCCCAGTGACAGGCATGGCATAATCTCACTAGAGTAGAGTTTAACAAGCACATTTTTAATATAAAAAGATTTCCTTATTTATTCTTCTTAAATTAGGAAGTGTCTCTCTTTTTTTTTTTTTTTTAAAAATAGTCAGATCTCTAATCTTTCTTTAAAGTTATTCGTTTCAGCTCCAAAAGCCCATGGAGATAAACATCTCTGTTAAGTTCCTGGGATCTTTTATATTCCGAGTGAGAGGAGGTTATGAAAACTGAGCATGCCTACAGCCTTTGGAGATGCTTGTGTATACTACCTAGAACCATGGAATTTTCTCCCCCTTTCTCTTCAGATACCACAGACTTCACACATTTCGAGAGAACTTCACTTGGCTGTCCATAACAACTGTTAGTTTTCTTGGCAGAGAATCATGAATTCAGGCTAAAAGAGCAGCTCGGACAGTTTCTCCCTTTTCCCTTTATAACCTCTGAAAAACATGCATTTTGTTCAAAGTTATCGTTCATAAAGCATTGTGCTTCCCTATTACTCCATCTAAAAAAAAAGCTCTTCCTTAGTCTCCACTCACTTGCAGGGCAGATGTCAGTAGTTTGGGGCTACACCATTCGCAGTTCATTAATAGACATACAAAGCACAAATAAGTTCTTTTCTAATCTCTATAGCAAGCTACAAACAATAATTCATGGACTAAACTTAAATCCTGGTTTGGGACAAATTCATTTGCACAGAATAAACTAAAATTTAGTTACAACTTCACACTGCAAATAGGCATAAATAAAGGTTGCACATTCCTATTTTGCTGAAGATATGATTTTCTGTTTAGTTCAACATTTCATCTGCACACAATGATTTATTTTCTGAGCAGCTATCTTAATACTACCTAAAAAGAGAGAATGAAAAATCTGCCTTTAGCTATCATCCAAAAGAAGGAGCAGTACGTGCAACTGTCAGTTTCCAAACGAATGTTTCTCATCTGTTTGAAAACCACACTGGAAACGGAATTAAGCCAAGAGATGAGTTTCTCGGGTTGACTGGAAATTTTTGAAAGGAAGGGTGGGGCTTTAGAGTTGCTCTACTTCAGTTCAGTTCTGCGAAGCAGTCACAAAAATTGACCAGTCCAGACAGAACGTCTGAAAGGTCTACAAGTGCATCCACTGTATGACAATTTGGGAAGTTGGGAAAAAAAACTGTTATTTTGCTAGCCTATCCAAGAAAACAATGATCCTGGGCAGGAAAAAAATCCATTTTTGCGAAAGCATTTCAGAAGAAGGATGTTAAAAATTAAAGGAGTTGGACATAACCACATCAATGATATCCCCATTACACACAAATCCCGAGATAACTTTCCCAAATGTATCTTTTAAGGCCTCCTTTTCAAGAGAGAAGCCAGTCACCTTCAAGATGAAATCAGAAAATTAGAAGCTTGATCATTATTGAAAATAACATTCAATATACAGACCGTATGTTAATAGTCCCCCCCGTCTTCTGTTTATCTGTGGTTTGTTCATGTCTTCTTAGTTGTGCGAGTAAATCAGATTCTGTCTGTTCCTTGTTGAGCGGTAAAGAAGATGCAACTGCAGAAGCAGCCTCCACTAGTTCTTGTTTTAAAGGCTTGCCTCTGTAAGAGACAGAAGAAATATGAAAACATGAAGAAAAAAGCCTTAATGTATTTAAATTATCATTTTCACATTGTCATTTTAGGCTTTAATAACTCAGAAATAACAGTTACACATTATCCTAGCGGTCCGGGGAAGCCCATGTTTGTCCTGTGTTCCACTATTCATCAACCGCTAAACGACACTGACAAGATGTTGTTCTCAAATCTGTGAAAACAAGAGCCCTATACCACTGAGTACTGTGTCAGAAGTGAAGCTGAGATGACCACAGGCAGCACAGACCTGCAATGTTATAAACCCGAAATAACAGATTGCGCAGGAGAGCCACCCACAAGACTTAATCTTGATGCCACTCTCATATAAAACACTTTTTTCTTTCTCCTCAGTTTTATTACATTTTGTTTGAACAATGATATTTTCTCCTTCCCATTAAAATAACTTCCCATGGACAGGCGCTAATGTTACCTTTCCAGAGTCTCACTGCAGAGAAAAAGTTGCATATCACAGAAAGCACATAACATCTTTTGTCCAGATTCTCCCTAGTGACCGTAATGTAAGCTTCTACACTAAATTCCCTTACAATATTTGTTTCTCTATCTGGTAACAGCATTTGATGCTTTGATTTGTCATACATAATGACAAGAACAATTTGAAAAAGAAGAAAACAGAGAGGAAGTGTGTTTATTTGGCTTTACCGCTGGATGTCTTCTGTAGCTTTCAGAAATGTACTACTTTTACTGCCCAGGCTTTCCAGCTGGTTTGTAGCTTGCTTTTCGGTCTCACGTGGTTTTAATTGCTGGAATTTCTTCTTGGAGCTCACTTCTACTTTCATGTTACCAATAATGTTTAACAACTTCTGCTTTGGTGTTTCTGCTGAATCCCCCTGACTCTTTGATGCCGTTTTGGTGGTGCTGTCTGTTGAAGCGGTCGATCCGTCTTCCTTAGTGGACAGGACAGTGCTAGTACTAAAGAGTTTCTGCATTTTGCTAGATAATACAGAAAGTTAAAAATAAAAAAAAAAAGAAAAGGGAAAGAAAAAAAAGAGAGGGAGAGAGAGGAAAAAAAGCAGAAGTTACAAATAGGCTCCAATGCTACATTTGTAAGCTTACAAAAAACATTAATTATAACTGTCTAGGCCTAACTACGTACAAACTGAATTAGGTACTCAAACATGTACTTTTTGTTCTTCGGGAAAGGTGAAGGGCAAAATTTATAACTGTTGGCTATTTATGGTTTCTTCATCACCCAGTCATGTAAGCAACTTTATTTCCTGCACAAATAAACTGTGCTTAAACCACGAACTGAAACAAAACTTAACACGTAACCCTGCACTAGATAGCACACTGAGAATTTGAAATCCCCACGTTTTATCACAGCTGCTGGCTTTACTCAAAACTACAGACCTTGTAACCACGTGAATTTGAATGAGTCATTTGAACACATCTGAGATTTTTATCTAGGTTTACAAAAGTACAAAAAACGCCAAACTTCCAGCACCTGATACTTAAATCACTAGTACTACAGAAAACTCACTGAAATGCTTAAAACTAAGCACCAAAGAAATTGCTCCTGAGTCCCTTCAAAAAAGAAAAAAAAAAATTTGGCAACAACCAGACTGTACATACACATTTCAGTTCCACATTGTTTACTCTCACTGTAATTTGATGTTTGGGGCACTAAGGAAAGAATCGTTTTCATTCCCCTACCCTGTGCCCTGCAAGATACCAGCCAAGCATTTGTGCAGCCATTCAGGAGAACGGATCCTGCTGCAAAATAATCCAGAAACAAACAGAACAGTTATTTTGGTTATTTAAAAAAACGCTCCTCCAACTAGTTTACCACCTCACCGCCAAGTACTCACTATGCTCTACCTGGCATAGTACAGGCAAGGATGTGATGTCAACGACAGAGGGGGGCTGCTTTAAGATATTGCTGAAATAGAGGTGCAACCGTCTTCTCTGGAAAAACTATCACAAAATTCAAACAACAGTTCTCATCAGCATTTTAAAATGAAATGTTTGAATCTTTCAACTCAAAGATACTTTTTGTGTTATGACCATCCTCAAGTTACTAAAAGAAACCTGCAATGGAATATTTATTTTGCAGTGGAATATTTTATTGCAACAGATCTGAAGTAATTTTGACACTTCCTTCCTCCTCTCACACGCACTCCCCCCCATCTTTGGCTAACAAACAGACAAAAATCTGCTATTGTCAGGAGGCACCACGTTGCTACTTCAGTAGCTCTGCACTTAATACATTGTCAGCGTTAAGCCCTAATTTCAACGACAACAGGCAACAAGAAAACGTAAGCAAAACCTCAGAACCACGTTACTGAGAAGAGGGCAGGAATCCTGCCGGTTTATGTAGAGTTGTTCTTCACAGGTTTTTCCCCAAACACATCTTTTTCATTAGTTCACGCTGCATGTTCCCTAAAACTATTTAATCCATTCAGAAATCTCTGCTTGCAGCACTGGAAACAACACAGAGAGCAAGAATACAAGCCTGAAACATTTAAAGCCAGGACTACGCAGAGTTTGCATTGCTTGGTGCAACACAGTATTAGGATTTTCCCCTGCTTGGGCAAACCCCATCTGACCTCCAGAAGCACACGCAAGGCGCCAACCTGCTTTAAACGTTGGGCTATCACGTTACCACAGTTTGTCCAAAAACAAATGGGGAGCTTCGAGGTAAGAAACGCGCATCCGACGTTTTATTAAAAGGAATGAAATGTTTTCAGTAAAGAGAAAGACAGACTTCCAAGCAACCTTTGCATACGCTGCTTTCTTTGGGCACGCAGCCCTGCCAACAGGCAGCACTGCTCTGCTTTCTCCCTCTCCCCTCTGCATGCAAGGTGTGACACTCTCCTCAGCTCGCAAAGCCGTATTACTCACAAAACTAAACCGCGAAGAGAAGAAATCAGGGGCAAGCAGAGCAAAACGAGGAGCACAACCCAACCCAACCCAACCGGGAAGCCCCCCGTCGGGGCTCCTCGCCGGCGCGGCCGGACGCCCCCGCGGGAGCAGCGCGGCTC